AAGGAATCACGCTTTTTTTCCAGAAACAAGGAATAATTATAGCTTTGAAAACTATTTTTATCCCAATGTATGAAGTTACTTGTCACAAAACGCAGTAAATTAAGTTTTTACCGTATAAATTCACTATAACGACCAAGTTTATTTCCGTTCCGGTTGAATTGGTTTCCACGGCGTGAGTAGTAGTCACAGTTACCTTCTATCGAAAGCATTAGACTTTCATATTCTCTCATCAGCCAGAAATGGACTCATTAACATTAACCTTCTCCTCTCAAGGATAACCGAATTTAGTGTTAAGCCGTGTATATTTGCAGTATTTCCTCACTTCAGTCCACTGACTGGTTCGGACGGTGGCTCGTGCTTGGAAGTACGAATAGATAGTGAGGTCGATGGCTCTACGCATTTTTCCTCACCACAAATAATCTGACGTGCTTGAAGCTGTCGCACTGTACTGAAGACCATGGCTCGGAAGATTGCCAACTGACGGGGTCATCCGGACTGCGCGGTCAGCCTAGCGCGTGTTTATGTAGAGTGGCTGCTTGGCGGACTGAGAGTCAGGCTACAGTAGCTCTTCCTTAATGTAGCTTTTACAGCACCCACACTTCATGCAATCTAAACCAGGTGTGTGGCACACTTGGGGGTAGCTCTGGCTGTGCCAACCACCTGCGCCCTCTTCCGCCTCTGGTCTTCTTGACTTGGTCGTGACACCAGGTCCAGGGGAGGGGAGGAGGTGCATTAGATGCTGCGCAAGTCTGTCCTCATTATGATCTAATTCACGCGCAAGTCAGCGCGTTTGCTTTCAGCCCGACGTGAAGCACACGGTGGACATCGCCGAAGCCGACGATCAAACTGTCGTCATATTTGTAATATCCTGTTCACGTTAGTTATGCAAAAAGAGATGGGTTTGTACCGGACAAGTGTTTTCCTCCGAATCCCCGTGCAATTTTATGACAAAATAAAGACAAGCTTTCACACCAACAGACTTGCTGGTTGGCTCCCTGGCCAATAAAGCTACTCCAACCAAATTAATCTTCGAAGTTTGCGCAGTCAAACTCCAGTTATAGGCCACCTAAAGATTACCCAACATTGGAAAATCTGCATCCCAAGAAGTATAATTCGGTAAAAGAAGTTCTTTGGGAAAGAGTACTTTAATGTGTGAATTTTCGACTCTGGTTCCCCAGTTCGTCTTCAGACAGCATGAAAGTTATGCAAAAACACAGCTAACTCAACACGATGACTAACATAAGGTTCTACAGCGATTAAATATGTTAGCAAATAATCGTTGGTCTCATTTAATTACGCGGCCGAGGGGGGGGGAATAGTTGTCAACCGAATGCAATTGTGCGGTCAGCGGGAGAGGGGGGAAGGGAGGGAGGAGGAGGGGGGAAGGTAAGGCGAATAATTGTCACCCGCATTGACTCCTGTCGTC